AAGTTTATGAGACAGCTGCTGGGCTAAAGCGTGGGGAGGTTTGTGTTGCTGGTCAACCGCGCTAGCTGAGTTCCCAGCTTTGTCTTGTGTTTCCAATCGCAGCAATGGGATCCTGTACCAGTACCCAGACCGCACGGACGTTATCCCTCTGCTCTCCGTCAACATGGGGTAAGTGGGCAGGAGGCACGTTGGCTGTGGTGCCTTCATCTTCCCACTGACGTTGGACCTGCCAGAGGCATCGGTTGGTCTCGTTAGAACTCGTCTGTGGCAGGAGTGAGGGGGTCTGGCGTGGAAGGGCCATGAGCTCTAAGGATGGCGGCTGCATCTCTGCATTTCCCAGTCGCTCACCGCAGGAGACGGCAGCCTTATGCGGAGAGCCGTGGCCAGTTAGTGAGGGGAGCTGGAGCCTTGCACCAGAGATTGACAGTCGAGGGGTATTTGGTGCTGTGGGAAATGAGTTGGGGGCAGATCTTAGGCCAGTCCCTAATGTGCAGGGTCTGCGCTGTCACAGATCACCATACAGACGGCCTCAGGCCTAGGGAGACTGGACTCGCTCCCCAGGTCCCTGCGATTGGGGCTCAGGTTTCTGCGCTTGGTGAGATGAGGCAACTTGGCACTGGGGATAAAGGAATCCATCCACTCTCCAGGACTGTTGATCTAGCACTAAGATCATTTGAAGTACAAGTCTTCTGGGGATAATTGTTTGGGAATTCCCAGCAGTGGTTGTGCTGTTAGCAGTGATCCTGGGGCCCAAAAATCAGTCTCTCTCTGCTGAGACCCAGCTGGCTGGTCTGAAATGCAGCATTACAGAAGCTTTTCTCTGTCTGTGTTAAGTTAAAATTGGAAGGGATCTGGGAGCCAAGACTCCTGGGTTCCATTCCTGGCTCTGTCACCATCTCTTTGCGGAGCATAAACTCTGCCAAATGAAGTATCAAAACATAATTAGGAAACCAAGAAGGAGTTTGAAGACCAGCTAACTGAAATCTCAAAAAGTAATAGCAAAATATGTTTAAGTACATCAGAAGCAGGAAAAACCAGAGGGACCACAATGCTTGAACTGCTAAAGGAGCACTCAGATATGATACGGTCATTGTGGAGAAACTAAATGAATTCTTTGCATCCATCTTCATGGCTCAAGCATGAGGGAGATCCCCAAACCTGAGCCATTCTTTGTGGGTGACAGATCTGAGGAATTGTCCCAGATTGAACTGTCACTAGAGGTGGTTTTGGAACAAATTGATAAACTGAACAGGAACAAGTCACTGGGACCAGCTGGCATTGACCCAGAGTTCTGAAAGAACTCAAATATGAAACTACTAACCATGGTTTGGAACTTATCCTTTAAATCAGCTTTTGTACCAAATGATCGGATGATAGCTGTCACGTAACTGGATTTTGAGGGGAGCAGCCAGATCACTGCTGTGCCCATGAGGGTGTTTGCCCCAAAAGTGGTACAAAGGGGGCCATGTGAGGGGTCAAACAAAAGCTACTTTCTACTGATTCTGTATCTGCTCTTCATAGATCTGTATAATGTCTGTGTGTGGAGTTATAAATATGAACTCTGTGTTGATGCTGAAAGATTCTCTGTCTGAGGCAGAGCAATGGGCCAGGAATGTTTGCCCATCGACATGCTAATGAGCAAAGCTCCATGGAACAATAGCGCTCTACAGGCCAAGGACACACATCAAGAATGGTGACTGATACCTAAGGGCTACCAGCAGGGGACACAGGATAGGCCATGGGCCAGGTGACCTGCTGCAGCCAAGAAGAGACCGGGAAGGAGGGATAAATAGGCCATGTGGTGGACTCCAACTTGGTATTCAGCTCAGCCCTTCATCCCAGAGGCAGCAGTGCAGGGATCGAAGAGCCAGAAAGACCTGTGTAGGATGTACATCAAAGACTTTTAAGTCAGCAGTTATAATATCTCTGCTGCAAGCCTGCATCGAGAACTGGGAGATTCGATGCATGTAACGTCTGATACTTTAACAACCTCACTCTTTCTTTCTTTCTTTCTTTCTTTCTTTCTTTCTTTCTTTCTTTCTTTCAGTAATAAACCTTTAGATGTTAGATGCTAAAGGCTTGGCTCAGCGTGATTTGTGGGTAAGGTCCAGAGGGTAAATTGACCAGGGATCTATGGCTGGTTTCTTGGAACTGGACAGAACTTGTTCAGGGTAGGTGGGATTGAGTTCTAAGACCCCCCACCGGTGTATGAGGCCCAGGGCCATCTGGGGCACGGATATTGCTGGGGTGTCGGAGGGGTTTTGCTCATGAGGCTTCAGGCAGGCAGCTGAAGCGCTCTGTGGGAATGGTTTGTGGCCTGTTTGGAAAGGTCTCCAGTCTGGGGTTTGTAAGGAGCCCCAAATTTAAGCAATTCTCCCTGAGCGGATGCCCTCAGCTGTGCCCAGACCCGGCCCGGTCCGTCCTGGAGGTCTTTTGGGGCCAACACCCTCCCCTCCCATGGGTACAGCAGTGATCTGTCTGCTCCCCTCAAAATCCAGTAACGTGACAATAGCTAATGTGGCACCAATAATTGGCTCTAGCGGTGATGCTGGTAACTACAGGCTGGTACGGCTAACTTCAGGACCGAGCAAATTGGTTTAAACTATAGTGAAAACCAGAAATATTGGGGGGAAAGTCAACATGGTTTCTGGAAATGGAAATCCTGCCTCACTAATCTACTTGAGTTCTCTGAGGGTGTCAGCAGGCATATGGACAAGGGGGATCCAGTGAATATAGCGTACTTAGATCTCCAGAAAGCCTTTGACAAAGTCCCTCACCAACGGCTCTTAAGCAAAATGAGCTGACATGGGATAAGTGGGCAGGTCCTCTCCTGGACTGATGACTGGTTAAAAGGCAGGAAACAAAGGGTAGGAATCAATGGTCAGTTTTCAGAATGGAGAGAGGTAACCAACAATGTCCCCCATGGGTCCATAATGGGACAATCCTATTCGACATATTCATAAATGATCTGGAGAACATGGTATACAGTGAGGGGGCAAAATTTGCAGATGATACAAAACTGTTCAAGATAGTTAAGTCCAAAGCAAACTGTGAAGAGCTTTAAACCAGAATGGGACACCATTCCTTACCAATACTAGTGGTCTGGAACGGGTCCCAAAGGAGGAGAGATTAGAACAGGCGGTCTCCAACCTTTTTACACCCAAGATCACTTTTTAAATGACAGATCAAGTCAAGATCTACCGCCCTGCCCCTTTCTCGAAGCCCTACCCTCTCTATTCTCCTCCTATCCATCACTTGCTATCCCCAACCCTTATACTGCTGCTTTTTTCACAATTCTTCTGTAGGAAGAAGTTTTTCCAACATTTGACCTGTCTAGACTGGACCAAATGTCAGAAACCCCTTCTTTTGGAAGCCCCCTTATTCCTCGTGGAAAGAGGAATATAGGGGTGACCGAAACAGTACATTTGCTCTTCCACTAAAAGAAGCGGAAGAACAAACACATCCCTGGATGCAGAGGAGTTTTTCTGGGATATCTCCAGAATCCTGAAAAACTCTTGCAGTCTAGCCGTACTCTTTCTGGGCTGAGACAAGATGTGTGGGCTCTGGGGTGGGAATGAGGGGTTTGGGTGTGGGAAGGGGTGAGAGATGCAAGCTTTGGGAGGAAATCTGGATGCAGGAGGAGGTGGAGAAGGGGATGCTGGCTCGGGGAGGGGGCTCCAGGCTGGGCAGTTTTGGGATCAGATGTAGGGTTGGGGTACTTTCAAGTAGGAATAAAAGATCCTCCGGAAAAGGGTTTATTTTCCGGAGAACCACGTCTAGACTGGCACTTTTCTCCCGCTTATCCCCAAGCCGGAAAGAAGCAGCAGCCATGTTAATGCAAATACCGCAAGGGATATTTAAATCCCCTGCGGATTTTGCTATTCCAAAGTGTCTAATCTGCATCCCTTTTCCGGAAAAGGGGTGCAGTGTAGACACAGCCAAAAAGTTTCTGCATTGTCTTTATTTCTGAGAAGGGCAGGGAACCTGTTTTGACCCACAGAAAAGTCAATTGGGGCCACACAAGTGAGATGCAAAATAAAAAAAACCTCCTCCAACCCCCCCACAAGCCTCACAACTGTGCTGGTGGGAGCAGGGCACATGGTATTGGGGAAGGATGCCAGGGGGTACCGGGACAGGGGACGGGGTGCTGGGGCAGGGTGCCAGTGGGTGCTGGGGCAAGGGACAGGGGGCCAGTGGGTTTCGGGGCAAGGGCCTGGGGCAGAGGACAGGGTGTCAGTGGAGGCAAGGGACAGGGTGCTGGCAGGGGGTGGGGACAGGGTGCTGGCAGGGGGTGGGGACAGGGTGCCAGTGGGGGGCAGAGTGCCAGTGGGAACAGGGGGCAGGGTGTTGGCTGGGGCAGGGAATCCTCAGCACGTGCCTTCCCCCTCCCTCAACGGAGGGAAGGTCTGGCAAGAAGCTAC